CATTTACATTTTTGACATTCATATAGGTATAGCATTTATATCTTTTTGCAAAGAAACGCAATCGCGTACTGTTGAATTTGTTTATAAATTTTAAAATTATCGGCAAAAAGTAAGCACCTCGACTATTTAATCACTTTTGACAAATCATTGACAACAGAAACAACAATAATGGGCTTAAAATGGAACCTTGTGGCACTCCGGAAATAGCACGGAATCTGCTAGAAGAATTACCATTATGTCTTACCAAAAAGTATCTCTCAAATAATCCCTAATAAGCATTAATATATTATTTGTCAATCCAAACTGACTGATCTTTTCTAATAAAATATCATGATCTACCCGATTAAACACTCTACTAAAATCAGTAAAAATTGTATCAAGGTGAAGTCTTTTTTCTAGTATATCGTTTGCATAATTTGTGAAGATAAATAAATTAGAATTAATTGATCTTCCAGTCACAAATCCATGATGCTTGTTGTAAATTATTTGATCGAATAATTTAGAAGGAGCACACATAACAGACACTGATCTATAATTTTCAATATTCCTTGTACTACCTGATTTGATAAGTATGTATTAGTAAAAAATTCGGCAAAAAATTTACCAGTTTCCTGCGGATGAATTTCTTTATCATTAAGAATAAAATTGCCACTGTTCGCACTCCCACTTCTTTTTATTGACATAAGTCCAAAAATTATATACGTCTGCTTTCGAATCTTCCTCTATACTTTTAATGTATTTCTTATACTCGGATCTAATTAGTGATTTTAATTTTCTTCTTATTTCCATGAATTGTTACTTATAAAAATCAGAAATTTGCGTTTTTCTTTATAAATTGTTTAATTTCCCTCTTATACCATATTGGATACTTATAACAGTGTTTATATAGCCTGAATGTTGGTACACAATTAGAAAATATATTATTAAAAGTATTATAAAATATATACGTCATCATTGACATTGGTTTCCACACACACTTCACCACCCCAATCAATATCTCTCCCTAATACACTCATATTAAAGATTAAAATTTATATGAAAATTTTTTGTTCTTATCAATCCCACAGTTACGTGATAAAGATCTCTGATTTGGATTAATAGAAATTTTCAATGAAGGATGATATACATCTTTTTTTGTAAGAGGAAATTCGGAAGTCCATAGTTCTTCCCTGAAAGTTAATAATATTATTAAATAATTTAAACGAATTAAAATTTAAAAAATTATCGAGAGCAAGGAGTCTTTCATTTGAAACATTAACTGATTGCAATGCACCTTTTATTTCAGGCAAGTTATAATTGCCCATTATTTATGTTTTGTTAACACAATCTACATTATCTTGTAAAAACCTAAAGCAGGATTCATATACTTGACGAGAATTTTTTGGTAGAATATAAACGCAAGCCAATGTCAGGTTAGCATTACCACAGTTTATAGCTAAAGAATCAGTTCGCTCACTCTCGGTCGGTACTTTTGATCTCAATGTTCCAGTTTAGTAATGAGCGATATTTCACAAACTGTGATTTAATCACTGATACCAACAAATATCAAGTCGTTCCCGTTACCAACTTGTGAAAAAAGTCGTGAAGTTATCACGCTCACACACAGTATTGGTTTCTTATTTCCTACTCAAACCTTTTAGGCTTTTGCAATACCGGTATTACCTTCAGTCGCGTCATTAAGTCGATTTTCGCTTTAAATCATTTAAAATATAATAGGTAGCAGGAGACTCCGTGCCTAATTGACAAACGTATGCTAATAAGGTCGATTTTCGCAAATCTCAATTGTAATAACACGCGTGGCATACGACATCGTGCCTTATTGTCCTTCGTTTGGCTATACTAAATCACGGAAAGATATCATTATGGTTCTTTTTCTTTCATATGTTTTTTTCATTATTTGGTATCTATCTATCTTGACAACGCGACTTGTTATCAAACGCGCGAAATTTAGATGTCGTGATCACGTCACGCTTTTCAGTCACTGATATCAAAAAGCAACAGTAACGATTCACAACATGATTGAAAAATCACGATATCGACATAATCCAAAAAAAGAAAAGAAGAAGAATCACGATATTGTCCATCACTATTCCAGTTTATACATTGCGCAACTCAGATTTGTATCCCTGGCGCATACAGAATCAAATCATAATAGCCCAAGAGCCCACTGCAAATTTTTACCTCGATCTGATATTGAAATAAAATATACCCCAAAAGCTTGTAAAAACATTGTACTTTATCAAATGGCAACTGTGCCAATCCCAATCTTGAGCAAAGTGGTTAAAAAAAATATTTTATATTAAAAAAATCACATAACGCATGACAGCGCTAATTTTTGTTTGTCCTTAAAGTTTTCCAGATAATAACATATTCAAATATATCTTGATATATATCGTTAACGGGAAACATTTTCTTCCTCTTAACATCGCACAAAAACATCTACACACGATTAGTAGGTAAAAATCATTAAAAATATGAATCAATTTTTAATGATTTAAAAATTTATTTGTATGCCTATTGTTGTGATTCAGTTTTACAGGTTGCCATAAAAACGACAAAAAAAAGCTACTAAGAGGATTATTTAGAATCAAACATGGCAGTCTCCCAAAGTGAATAGCAAAAGCGGCAATCTCCATTTTCCCTATATATTATTATTAGAACTGTCTAACAAGAGATTATAATTATTATTGACTATCTCTGCAAATGATTTATACAATGCCATCCTTTTTTTCTTTTACAGATACACATGGTTTAAAAGGTAGGTAGAAATATTAATAATTCAGGTTTAAAAGATAGGTTCACAATGAATTGGGATTGTAATTTTCATGAAAAACACAATTATCGCTGTCATGTCTATGTGATTTTTTAAAAATAAAATAATTTTTTTTAACCACTTTGCTCAGGATAGATTGGCACAGGTGAAATTTGGTAAAGTACAATGTTGTTACATGTCCTTGGAGTATGTTTCATTTTGTTATCAGATGTCGGCCGTAATTTGCAGTGGGCTCTCTTACTATAACCAATTGGACATTCCAACGACCTGTCAAACAATAGCTGCCAGTGAAAAGGTCTGGTATATCTAAGGGGGTAGCGACATAATCTTGAATCTTGAACACTTTTTGTATTCGAAATAATAGTCACCAGGCCTGCTAATTTATGAAAAAATGTATAAGCAGTTTCTTATTTTGATTATTATTTTTATTGTGTTTGACATAAAATATTTAAATGTAATCCATTATTCATGATTTTACGTATTGTAAACAGAATACATCGTATGTCGCAACCCTTGGATAAATCAAATCTTCCCACTGGCAGTTCATTTATTTGAAATGCCTTAATACAATATATGATAACCGCCTATATTTAAACAGCAGTCTTCTGCGCATCCTGAATTTGTATCCCTGGAGTGGATGTTATTTTGGAACATCCAATTGGCCCGAGTAAGCTAACTGATTCTTTAGAGCTATAAACTGTGGCATTACGTTCTATTTTAATTTTCAATACTGTTGCTTCAAAAATTAAACAAATTTTAGCCAATATTTGTGTGCCGCCATTAGTCTCCCCCTTTTCCTTTTTGAACAGTTTCCTTTTCCCTGTCCCCTCTAATTATATTAAAAATATTTAAATCTATCAATTCCCCATCCATGTTTCAGAAATTATAATAACGACACATTCATTTTCCAAAGTGTTGTTAAAAAAAAGTTTTCGTATTAATCCTCTTCAGTTCTGGTAATACAATTTATAGACATCATACTTTCCAACTCAAACGTTTAGGTACAATATACGGAGTGGCCCAAAAGTCTGGAAACGGCCAATTATCTCGTAAATTGCTAATCCTAATTGTACAAAATTTGGGATACACCCATTTTGGGATACGGAGATTCAAAATTTGATATTTGCAATGTTGCCAGATTTGCCGTTTCACTTATATTATTAGTCACTTTGGTTTTACAAATTTATCACCCTGTGTATTCAGTCATTATTGAAATCTCCTATTCAATACGAGTTCAACCATATGTAACACTTATGATTTTATGTAGTCTGGAAGGTCTTAAATAAATAAAACAATCATGGAGAAATGTGGTAGATGCATTCTACCATCGATTAGGGTACTGTCAACTCACAAATGGAGCACATTTTGAACACTTGATAAAGTAACCATTATGTTAAAAATGTTATAATCTTTCAATTGTTACGTTTTCATGTAGTTGAAAATAGTTTGTATTAAAAAATTTATTGAGACAATTAGGCGTTGCCAGACTTATTTTATTTATTTAAGACCTTCCAGATTACATAAAATCATAAGTGTTACATATGGTTGAACTCGTATTGAATGGGAGATTCCAATAATGACTGAATATACAGGGTGATGAATTTGAAAAACCAAAGTGACTAATAATTTAAGAGAAACAGCAAATCTGGCAACATTGCAAATATCAAATCTGGAATCACCGTATCCCAAAATAGGTGTACCCCCAACTTTATACAATTAGAACCAGCAATTTACGAGATAATTGGCCGTTTCCAGACTTTTGGGCCACTCTGTATAAAAAGGAAGATATTTTTAAAAAATAACTGCCAACTTCGAAACATGAGTTTATAACTACTTATGTTTTTTTTAACCCTGAACACGTATCTACCCAATTATATCGAAATGGAGTATTGTTCAGTTTATATGCCCTATCTGTTGACGGTGCACTTTAACAAGCAACTTGATACTCTATCAGACCGGCATCGGCATTAACATGGCATTAACTAAATATCAAGTTCTCGATGGACGAACCAAATTCGGAAACGAAAAAAAGCGATCCCTAGAGGTTCACCGTAAAATTGCTTGGCCACAGAGTCCTTTTAAGATCAAATTGACTGAACGACGTGGTTTAATTTACCAACCAAAAATTTCTATTGATCTAACAGGGAAAATAAAAACGGATGACAAAGAATCTCGAGAGCAATAGACGTTGCAATCCGTCGTTTGCCCTTTAATTGGGTTTTTCAGGATGCACCAAATCAGAGGATTTGCCAAATATATGGAAGCAGTTAAGGGATTAGTCGCTTTGAGCTGTAATAAAACTTTGAGCCAAGAATTTGTTATACAACTGGAAAAAAGGCAGAAAGTCTATGAAGGTACTAATTAGAAACGTTTTTTAAGAATTAGAACGCTATACTCAAGGATATCATTTAAAAATATAGTAACTATAATTTAAAAATATATTTACTGAATAGGTATAAGTATATAATTATGTTAAATTTATAATACCTTACTTATATCTCAAACATTTATACTCGTATACTAATTAATATTACAATATTTAACTACACAAATCGATCTTTAGCTATATAATAATATCCAAATGGCAAAATTGGTCTATTTATATAAAAATGCGGCTCGACAGAACTGTTCTCGAAGACACCAACGTTCTAGAATAGATCAGATCAGAATCGGCTATGTTTCCGGTAGTTTCTAGAGTTTTCGTTTCGCAGATTGAATGGCAAGTCCTGCCCAGCTATGATTGTCACTTATTTAAAATTTAAAAAATAATAATAGCCGGGTGACCAAAATATGAACGGTGATTGGTGGAATCCATTTTTTTGCAGTCTTACTAGGTAGAATGTATTTGAAATATATTCGTTCAGTTAAACGCAATTGCATACGTTTTCGTTTTGTAGTATTTGCGTAGATAAGCTAATATTCATGTGAGTGTAGAAAAAATTGTTTTTGCAAAATTAATAAATATTTTTCGATACCGAAATATTAGGCGTCTTTACCTGTTTACTTGTTTAACATAATTTGGTGAATGCGTGTAAAATTATTATAACAAATTAATTTAAAAATATGGTGGATGTACTTTATTATGACAAAATAGTTACTGAAGTGTAAAATGTTTTCAAAAAAGGCGGAGGTTCTCAAATCGTCGCAATATTTTTTTTTTTGTATGTTCAGCGATAACTCTTTACCACGGTGTCCGATTTCAATGATTCTTTTTTTGTTAGGGTGGTCCCATATAAATTTGGTTAAGATGTTGTGATGGCATCTGCACGTTTTTGAAGTCGGTTTTTTTGAATTTTTAATTTCTAATACTTGTCTTGTTCTATGACTATTTAACAAAATACATATTGTACATCTACTTTCTATTGATTAATGTAAGTGGTTACTCGTACAGTGAGTTTTTTTTCATTACTCAATTATTTTCAACCATTACTTAATTATTTTCAACAAAAATCGATCACAAATACAACCTACACGGAAAACGAGTTGACTAGTAGAAATATAACTACCACTGTTGATTTGGATTCAAAAGATTCTGTTAATTTTCAAAACTGTTCTAATTTCACAATTAATTTTGGAACAAATAAATTAAATATAATATTGCATAACTCTGATCTATTATTTAATTCAATAATCATAGAAAAAGTATAGTATTCTACTAACGGGTAATGGCTGTTACTCAGTCGGATGATTACACTACTCATACTGCAAATTTCATTCTCGTGAGTGATAGCCATAATTACCTGCTCGTTGAATAATATACTATTTTACTGTCCAGAGATGGGATAGTAATGAAAGTTTTTATCAAGATTCGTATATTATTTACATGAACTGAAAAGTGGTCTCTAGAGAATTGAAAATCTCATTAATGTAGTTTAAATATGGAATGATCCAACAAAAATGTTTCTAAAGTAAGACTTACAAATATTTACACATGTCGGAGCCTACAATTCTTCTTTTTAAGTATCAGTTTGTTTATAATTCAAAGCCGTTCGTAATTATCACAGATATGACTACTTTAGAAACATTTTTGTGGATCAATCTTTATTATTAGAGGGGCCATATTCTTGAATGTCTATTTTTAAATGTCACATGCGACATTGATGATATGTCGAACAAGAACGCAAAATCATATTCTCGAATGGCGAATTCGACATTTGCTGTTAGAATAAAGTCGAGTGGTATTCAACCAGTCGACATTTTAATGTCGCATGCCTTTTTAAAGATAATGTTACAATATGAGTGTTGTGACAGTGATAATTTATGTTTATTTTTAAGAAAAATGAAAATAGGTATTGTATAAATTATTTAAAAAAAAAATTGATTTGATTAACTATAATTTCACCTATTTTATCAATCATTAGTCCTGTCTGTCCAAGAGATTTAATCCCTGTCATTAAGGATTTTATATACCTCTATCTTTCAAATTGAAGGGAAAAAGATTGGGGTTATGATTGACAACCTGTGTTATTTTTAACAGGTCCGTTATTTTATAAATACACAGAAATAACAACCTGTTCACAAATAACGTGCCTGTTAAAAATAACATTACTTGTCCATCATAACCCCTTATATCACAGACCTTTTATAAAGTGATTAGATTATATATTTCTTCTTCTTTCTATTTAATCTCTTATCAAATTGCACTTCTAATTTTCTATTTAATCCCTCATGAAATTTCAGTTAAAAAGATTATATTATATTTTATCTACATTCTAATTAGTATTTAACAAAAAGATATATATTCGGGATATATTTTCAGTATTATTTTTTATTACTAAGAGATTCTTTAAGTAATTATCTGCTGTAATATACTCGTATTGTATGTTTCTATCCAATGTTGTCAGATGTTACCATTCGCCAAATGTGTCACCGATTTTAAAATGTCCATTTGTCTTTGAGAATACGGATAGTGTCAGTGGATCGATATTTTGATAGACATTAGTAGTAGACATTATGATGAATGCGACATTTTTAATAGACATTATCTGAAATGTTCACTGGCTCCCGCGCTATAACACTCAAAATGAAAACTACTAGACTAATTAGTTTACAAAAATCGAATTTCAAACAATCACTGTGTCATACACATAGTTGTCAAATTATGATGAGAGAGTATGGGAGAATCTTGTTACAAGGATTAGTTATGGTTATAATTCGGTATTGCCTAAACGAAAGGCTATAAAGCGCACAAAAAGCTTTAAAAATTACATTAGGGAAGTATATTTATATTCTTAATGCCAGTTTATTGTATTTTTCTCGTTACATCTATAATAGTTGAATAATGTTTTACAAAAAGTACGCGATTAATTTGGCAGCAGTGTAAAGCAGGCGTAGTAGACGTAAATACTGATTCATTCACGAATGCTCGATCCTCAGATAAACATACTCGCGCAAAATATCCCTATTCAAATTAGCAGCTGTCTTCTTCTTTCTCATGCGGCAGCTGTCTGCAAAATAATAAACAATCTAAATGATTGCAATAAATAATATTAATTATGAATGAATGGATTAGTCTAGTAATTTTTCGTCATTGGTGAACACCAATGACTGTTCTTACGGAGATTTTATTTTACAACTACTTGTTTCATCAAGTTAGTGAAAAGTTTGTCATTTATTTTACTTTTGCCTGTTATTAATTCACAAAACAATAAGTTTTTTGCATTTAATTTCAGTTGCGGGTCGCCTATATAATATAAATTTCTATTTTAATAAAAGAAAAAGGAGAAATTAAGAGTTTCTTGTTACATTCTGTCTTTTAAAAGAAAACCTGCTGATAAAAATATAAATAAATATTCTCGAATTTAAAAACATTATGAATTAGTCTTAAAACGTTCGCTTTAGTGATATAATAAATAAAAAGCTCTCTGCTATTATTAGTAATATGCAATCAAACATACACCAACGTATTTTGTATTGCCTAAATGATGTCTAGAATGGAACGAAGCCAGAAATTTTCGTAGTCCTGCTGTGTATAAAAATTCTGTATCTGCGAACTCCGAATGCAACCAACGTCGCCCGTCTGCGACCCGAACACCTAAATTGAGGGCTACACAAGTTTTAGCCCTTTCTTGTTTGCAGCCCGTCAACAACATCAGTGAATAGGTCACAAGTAACGGAGAATATACTGAACGCCAGGAACGGTTTGCCAGATTATGTTTAAAACAACCGAAACAAAATAAACCGTATGAAAGTAATAAATAGACGTGAAATACAATATTCTTTTTATTAAAAATAGTATTGGTAAATAGCATAATAAACCTTCATTTTATATTTATATAAATTGGTTTCCCCTTGTACTGGGGGGCTGTAGCCCTATATCCCTTACAGACAAGCCGTCACTGTTTAATTTGTTCTGTTTAAAATTTACTATGAAATGTGATTATTAACGTTTAGCTGTTGAGAATTGTTAATTTTTAAAAAAATTCATAATTTAAATCAACTTTAGATTTAGCATTTCTAACATTTACTATTTGTTTAATAAACTATATTCTACAACTTTATTGTTGTTCTTGGCTGTAGCTCATATTATGCTCAACCAATATTGTGGTTTTCTCGATTCATATTAAAATATCTTTTCACTCATTCAGAGAAAACTAAGAAATTTTTATTTTCACGAGTGACATTTCATCTGTTACTACTTATACCTCATCCTGCATATTATTTCACTTTATACCGCAAACTTCATCTACTCAACTCAACCACATTGTGCATATTGTCGGTACATTTTTAAAGTTTAAGATTTTATGTTATTGTACCTTATTTATTTATTGTTCAAGATTAAACTTTAATTATAGTTTAACATTGTATTGGTTGAAGATTTCTAGAGATCCTTGATTTTTAAGTGTCGTCGTAAATAAAATGTACGATAGACGCGTGTGAAGTGCTTTTGCGAACTAATGGCGCTTATGACCAGTGTTGTTCCTAGGGATTTTTGAATTGTACAACTTTCAGTGTCAAAATTGTACACTTTTACTTTCGATTGTACAACCACTAATTAATCTTCTTCTTTTTTATTGACAGACTATGGCCTACTACTTTCCCATGCTTAAAATTCTTCTTTTTTCCAGTTTAAAATATATTTTTGTTGTAAAACGGTGTACTGATTGGTCGCGAATGGCGCCAAATTTAAACTTTTATTTTTTTATTAATTTTAATGCATGTTATTTAACAAATCGTAGACTTTTTGAGCGAAGAAAACCTTTTATATACCCGATTTTACATAAATATTTAGCAATTTCAAATTGTACAACATTTCTGTCTTTTTTCAAAAGTGCGTACAACAGTACAACCGCATAACTGTTTGTACAACTTTTTGTACAATTGTACAACCAGGAACAACACTGCTTATGACACT